AACAGACACACGATGACAGCTGAGTCCACTTCGACAAGTTTACAGCCTGCCTTTGATGATCTTTGAAAAGTTTACTCTGTTTTATTTTTCTCCTTTTTGTAGATCTCCCCATTTTTGTGGTGTGACTGTCAAAGCGGTTCTGATGGACCACATTGTAAAACACTTCCAAAGCACAAATGTCATTGAAAGCAAACTTTGGTGAGAGCGTGTTAGTTCATGATTGGTGAACAGCTTCCAAAGTAGCTGATGATTACCCTGGTGAATTTACTGCTAATTTACCTGAATTGAGACTTTGGCTTTACATGTGTGTGCTTGGGACAGACACAAGTTACTTGCAGGCTTCTGACACTCTGTTAATCTATCTTAGAAGGAAAGAGAGGGAAAATAAGCCACCATACGCCAAGCATGTCCTTGAATGTAGTACTGGAGAGCATAAAAATACTGCAGAAATGAGATGAAGTAAGTGCCTGTGTAAAACATCTGAAGGGGCAGTCAGTCATACTTCCGTTAAGGTCAATGGGAGTGTTACGTCTGGCTCTGAGAGGACCTAGGCAGTGGCAGTAGTAGTGCATCGCTGAGGAGCAGAAGAACATTGTCTAGTCATTAGTGATGTGAATCAATGCAATTGCTGGGAGAAGGATATTTTTAATACAGTTCCCGTTTTAACAAATTGTGTGTTGTTTAAACAGATAGAAGTGTTTGAAAAGACAGGTGTTACAGGCCGAGGGCTTTTGGCACCATGCAAGAACTGACAGCTATCCTAATTAATCTATACATGTAATTAAAGAGGTACTGTGTAATCCACACACTGCAAACTGAGCACATCTACTTGTAAACAGCAGTTTGTTTAATGCCCAAATGGCTGCTTACACAAGAAGTTGTGATGGCAAGTGCCAATTAGCTTTGCAGACTGTTCTGTGCAGTCTTAGTGTTTAGAAACTAGATCAGTATGATAGTATAATAGGTAACACAAGTATAATCCTTCTTTGACTCAATGATCTGGAAAATAAATAGAAAGTAAGAAAGAGATCTCATTTTGTTTCTGTTGATATTAATGGCAAAATCTTTAGAGATGTGTTTCCCATACATGCATTTGATGCCAGTAACCCTGCTTTTTTAATGACATTTGTTTAGAACTTCTGATTTTTTTAAAGATATAATTTTATTCTGTAGCTGGGGAAAAAAATAATCTCTCTACCTTTATTCCCAAATGAGTATGGTAAACATTTTTCACCAGTTTCTTCTCTTCACTGTAAAGTTTTAGGCAAAAGCCCACAAAATAATCTGGAGCATGAGCTTTCTGTGAAACTATGAAAATACTTCATGGTGGAAGGACTATGGACAAATTCAGACTAAGTGTAAGGCACAGCTGTATTACATTATTGATAGAGTATGCTTGCTCTATCTTTGATAAGCTCATTGAAGTGGTCTTCGGAGATCAATGGAGGGAAAATATCCTTTGTAATTTTTCATTATGGAAGTCTGTTGATGTTCAGTTATGGTGGAAGTTGCTATTAGCTAACTATATCAGTTTAACTGTGCTGGGAGCAGATGTGTCTAATCACTCGGTTGCTATTCTGTTTTGCTTAACAGGAACAAGATGACTTAAAATACCTGTAAAGTTTTTATCTGCTTATTAATCTAATACAAGGATATCAAGTGGGTGTGTTCAGAAAAATAAAAAGGTGGGGGGAGAACTACAGGTGGCATCAGCTGTGCTAAGCCCTATTGAATGCAGTGGTTATATGCTGATAAATTGATATCTCTTTAAAAAATTCCTTTCATATATTCGGAATGCTATCTGATATTATTTGTATTTGATTTGATTGTTAGGGTACTTACTTTTTGCTTGACTGCATGATGTTGACCTTTTGTGTTTCTCCTAGTATGGTTTTACAAGTAGTCTAGTTTTGCTTTTGTTTGTTGCATCTTTTTAGTCTATTGTAAGCTGCCAGTATCTTTTAGCAATAATGTGAACTGTTTCGTGATGCAAATGAAATCTGATTCTAAAAAAATAAAAAATTACTTTCAATGGAGTTCATGTAATGGGATTGTATTTTAGGTTTTACAAAATTTGTATGAAGTCCACTTTAATTCTTGACAGTTTTATGAGACTTTCCTGAACCCTGCAGTCAAAAGGTAGGATACTAGTAGCCTACCTGAGTACTGAGGTAGGCTCAGGTTCCCTGCATGCTTAAAATCTGGATATAAACCTTCTTCTGTTGGCGTGTAAGTAAAAATATCTTCTTTGTAACATTTTATGGAAGCAAATGAAGGCTCATTGCATTGTTCATTGGCACTGAGCTAAATATTTAGAATAAAAGTCTACGTCCAAAAATATCTTGTTCTGACCTTTGGTTAACATGAGCATCTGTGGCCCTAAGTCTTCCTGCTTAGCTCTGAAATGGTAGTCCTGCTCTGTACGTGTGCGTGGGCACACATGCTGGGAGCCCATCCATATTGCCAACGATGCACCTAGGTAGCCTTTGCAGGAGTGGTTATGAGAGCATTTTTGTAACTTTTGTTGGAAAGGGGAGATCTTCATCAGAAAACAGAAAGTATATGTTCATTGTTAAAGCATGTCTGGCAGTAGTACAGAAGAGGAAGCAGTTGTTGTCTGAAATCTGGGTTCTGGCTATATAGCCTGACAAAAGATGTTAAAAACATTGTTGATCTCTGACTCTATGGCATTACCTCTGTGAATTCTTGGTTTAGAATTCTTTTACTTTGCCATCTCCTCCTTTTCCAGCCTAGGACAGCATAGTGGCTTACTGCATCGTACTGTTCTTGGTTGCTTGCGCTCCTGTGCCCTCCCTGATGAAGCCAGAGGAGCGACAGCACAGCAGCATCGTATCCTTCCTTAGATGTACTCTGTCTGGAGGTATGCATGCCATGTATTTCCTGACTCTCTTTTCTTCCACAGTGGGTCTGCCCGAAAGGATCTAACAATCATAGTATTTAGGTGGTACTGTAGAACTGTATTCTCATGTGATCTTCCCAGTTCTCTTCTCTTTTCCCCTAACCTTTTTTCCATTGTACTTTTTGAGGACAAGTGGCACAAGGGCAGTTTTTTTCTCATTTAGGAATCCATTTACTGTCATGTATTGGATGCACAAAAAGACTGTTATTTCTTCATCTGAAGTGACTAGACTTGGTTCTTTGCATGCTTTCAAAACAGTGAATTGAGCAGTAACACCAGAGGAACTGTGGATGTTACATCTGTGTAAGACAGGTTAACAAGAGGAAAGCATTAGGCTTGGTACTTTGAAGAAAAAAAGAGTATTATATAGACCAAGACCCTGCCTTTCGCTCAAAAGAAAAGAAAATAATCGGGAAAAATGCCACAGGAGCATTAGGAATAGTTAATACAGAAAACAAGAAATACCTCTAAATGTTTCTCAAGCTCTACAAAACACCTTACTGGCCTTTCTTTTACTAAAGGCAAGGAAGAGTCCTGTTCTTGAGGGAAGATTAATGCTTCCTATCAATAGTGCAATTCAAAGAACCACTGGTAATTGCATAGCTGTGCAATTATTAGTCATAGTAAAGTAGACAGAAAATCCTGTCTTGAAAATTAAAAAAAATTATCCTTTACTTGTTCCTATTTACCTTCAGGATAAATTCTGGCTGAGAGATCTGAATGTTTCTTGTCTCTATTATTTTTGTTCTGCATTATTCTCCTTGAGTTTTGAGCCTTTTGCCACATGGATGTATGGTAGATCGTTGATGAAAGCAAAATACGTAAAAGTGGCAAAGCCGTACCACTACCATATTGTCAGAAAATAAGAAGTCACAGCACCTCGGTGGGAGAATCTAGCTTTTTTAATGATGGAGAATGGGTCATGCAGCCTGGAGGTCCTGTGCTCGGTTACAATGCTCTGAGGACAGTGGCTCTGTGTGACACTGATGCAAGGAGTTAATTTACTCCAGGAACGGAGCTGTAATATGTAGCATTTTGATAGTGGTTCCCCTGCTTTTGCAGTCAGGTGAGGAAAAGCTAATATTAACAAAAAAAGATAAAAGAGTGTAGTGGGGTATTAATTCTCTGGTCTTCCATTGTCAGTACTTCAGTACCACAGGAGACCGAATGTATTTTTCTTTCAGTCTTTTTACAAGTCACATAAAATACAAGCATTCCAAAAACTAATAAATCAGATTTATTATTGTCTCCTTGTATCACCATCTACAGCTTGGCACACTGTGACATTATTCCTGGCATTCCTTCCTTCCCCATAGGTTTGATCAGTTTGTTTTCTTCCTCCTGACAAAGATGTGTCTGTGTGATATGGGCGTGCTTTTATTTTAGATAAACTATTTTGAACCTTGTGGCATGGGCTTGGACTTCAAAGTCTTGTGTTTTCTTTTGATTGACTTTTGTGTCTGTCACCAGCTTGTGTGCTCCTGTCGTACGCTCTGTAGAGGGAATAATGATACTTAGTTTCTTTTTGGGTTTTTTTAAAGCAATTTGAAGTCCACAGATGTTAAATACTTTGTTAGTGCTGCTTGTCACAAAAGTAAAATTTTGGCCCAGGGGATAGGGAAGAAAGTAGGAAATAATATCTATTCCCCCCGTCACACTAGCTGAAGTTCAGCTTTCTTGCCCCCCCTTTCCCTAGTTACTTGGTCGTTTGCCAGTAGTTTGCAACACAGACCGCGGACTGTACGTACATGCTGTCTGCAGAGAAAGTCACAAATGCAAAGCCAAGCAATCAGCAGCGCCTCTTGCTGGGTGCACTGGCATTGTAACGCGGTCTGTACCCCTAATGTCGGTGCAGCTCTCATGGCCTTTCATTAGGGTTGTACCTATTGCAGACTTGAGGGAGGATGTTTGCCTATGAAAATGAAAGATGCCGTCTTTACCTGTGAACCTTGTATTGTTTTAATGTAAGGTTGCATGCTATTTCTGCCCAGAGGATTTCAACTTTGCTATTTTACAGGGCAGACTGTGACAAACTGGGACTGGACCAGAACTCCGGCATCACTGTTTTCTGTTGGTGAACATGACGGCAACGAGAACTGAGGTAGGAAAATGCAGGGGAGGAAAAGCACTATAGCCAGTGGGTGCCCACCCTGGGTAACTGGATTTTGTGGCTGTTTCCGTCCTCCTGTTTTGTGCAAAGTGGTCTGGTTGCTTGCAGAGGCCCGCAGTGTAAGTGGTGCGCTCCCATCCTGGGGAGCGGGACCTGCCGTCCAAAACGGCCCCGCAGGCCTCCCTGCCAGCGAGATCTGCGCGCAGGACACGTGAAATGCTGATAAACCGCTAAGTGTTCCTCAATAAGCCTGAGCTTTACAAAACAGACGCTTCAAACGGGAATTCGTCTCCTAGGGTAACCTGTTTCAGCCCGGGTTGTGAGAGGAGCGGGCTTCGCGCAGGCGTTACGCGCCTTCTGCAGAGAC